GTCCCAGAGTTCAAATTCAAAGTTTTTAATTATCAGTGTGTACTTGTCTGTTTGTCTGGATGTTTGTGCCATCCACAGCTAAATGCAGCAGCATGTCCCTTTCTATGTTTAACTGTAGTTGGAAAATAAATTTGATTAGCAGTTCATCCTATGTCTGTGCCACCTGCACCTGATTGCGAAGTTACAAACCTGTTTAAAGGTACTGGTTATTAACACGGATGCTAATTTAGATCACGAGACTTCCAAGAATATTTAGAGTGAAGCTGTTTTTGCTGGTATCACCAAATGTTCATGGCCTGGTGTTGCTCTAATGGAATACCCCTTCCCAACCTATTGTATCCTGTAATACCATTCTCCAACTTCATTCAGAGCAAATATTAGAATGATTTAAAACCTACAAAGTAGGTCAATGGGAGCTTTATAAAATGCAAGATGATACCAGAGATATGTTGTCTTCTTTTTCTGTCAACTAGACCTCTGTCACGTACCACATTATTCCAAACATCTCAAATTACTCAGTAAAAAGAAGAGAAAAAGCAGTTCTCTTTTAACCCAATAAAGGCAGACATCTTGCTGACTCACAACTATAGCCTTCTTAGGCCTGATGCCAAGAATATTATGGGAATAACTCATTATAGACCAAGGTTTTTAGCCAGTTTTATCCAGCTTTCAGAGCAGCCTGACTGGGGGACATTTGATCTCAATTGCAAAGTGGCCCATTTCCCTCAGACATCACCACTGCAGTCTGTTTCAAGAGCCTAGCTCTGCCTTTTGGCGTTCTGGCCATGGGGCAATCAGCTGTTCCTATTTCCAGCACCAGTGTTTACAAATGGAAAATGTGTGTTGTTTCAGGAGGGAAATGAGCACCATTTTGAACAGACGATGTAAGCAGAAGATTACCTCGGAGCCTAGTAGAAATGAATCAGGTATAGATTGATGGCAGCCACGGCTCATTAAGAAGGAATGTGTGTGTGTTTAATTGATGCACTAATTCTCAGCCATTCAGGAAATGGCCCTTGGGTGGGTCTTCCAAATGGCACACAAATATTTGCTATGGACACAAATGTTTTTGTAAGCTCATCCATACAAGCCTGGGCATGCAAGGTAAGAGGAAAGACTGTCAGGCCTTTTGATACAGTGCAGTGATACGATCATTGCTAGATTGGCTCAGTCTTCCGTCAGTCAGCTGGGCGCTGAGCCGCTTAGATGACTCATCAGTGTGCATGAATTCCTCTATGCTCTCTTTCAACCCTAAGAACTCTTTGTACTGATGAGTACAGATTACGTTGGAATCTGCCCTTGCACTCCTCATCCAAGGACAGATGCAGGCCAAGAACTTAAGCACCCCCGATGCCATTTTGTCCAAGTCTGAAATGATAGCATCCAGTCACTGCATACTGTTGTTCACATTCAAATGCTCTGAGTAGGATGCCTTTTCCCAACAGATCACCTGTGCTTTTAAATACAAAAGGTCTGACTTTTCAGCATTCATGTATCACATTTCCTTTATGGGTTTGTGTGTGTGCACATGGGGGGGTGTGTGCTATGCATGATTTGTTTGGTCAGTGCATCCTAAGAAGTGGGTCAGAGTGCCCTAGTTCTTTGTGTGGGCGTGCATGGGTCTGTGTATTGCATTTCAGTGTTATTTTGTCCCGATTGACATTTTCTTGCTCTAGCTCTCCTGCTGTTCAGTAGCACGTTATTCTGTTGTTTACCTCGGTCAAGGTGAACAAGAGCTTTTAATTCAGCTTTCCTCTGGTACATTTGTTTACTTGTGGAAGGCCTGGAACAACTGCATTTGGTCAGGTAGCTTACGTTTTGTCTTCTTTAATCATGTCATGGCATATTGAATTTACAAGTAGCGGTCAGGCAGCATGTGTAAGTGAGCTACCCCATAGAGTATGTGCAGCAGATTACATGATATAATAGTGTTTAGGCATCGCCTCTCCTTTTTAAATTCCTTTAACCTTGACTCCCCTTAAATGCAGAGAGAACACATCTGCCAGGCTGGTGTCAGACATTAGTAATACACACCGCTCGGGCAACATTGTCACTTTTTATTAACGCCCAGAGCTTTGCATGGACACCAGCTGTTGCATCAAGTGCAAAAGCCTTGGTGGGCATGAATGACCTTGACTTTAACTGCCGCTCCTTTGGCTCTTCCCCCTTTTAATTCTTTTGTTTGGTCTCATACATTTTAAATGGCTTAAATGGATTACCATTCCTGACAAAGAAGGTCATTTTAGAACTCACTTTTTGTGAGATAAGAAAGAATGCTGTACTGCCAGCAAGTGTGTGCACGCCTCTGTGTCACTGCATGCTGGGGGGTAATCTGGAGATCAGTGGAGGAAATGAAGGACACATTTTGTGATCTAAATTGTGACATCTGCATTGTCATTTTTATGTAGGCCTTCTTAAGATACGTGGAATTAACAGAAGTGGCTGGGATTGCTTAGACCTTTCCTGTTCCTGGTGACTCTTCATCTATTGCACTGTTTCATTCCTTTGTACTTAAAAGACAACAAGCCAGAGGATGATGAAACTTTCACTCCCTCTCCATCACTTGCCTTCCCACTCACATTGTGGCCGACTGTAGGGGTAAAAATCACTTTAGAATGGTGCCTGCTCTGTCATTGGCTGACATTGTCAAGGATAATGGATAATCACCACAGAACCCATAGAGCAGCTCACTGGTGCTCTGGTGTCCCATGATGGGGAAGAGGGGTGGAGGTCGGGCTTTTTGGGTGCCACCACCAATGAGATGACATGTTAACAAGGTCATTTTCAATGTATACACCAGGGGAGATAATGTAATAGTAATGCATGCATCACACAGTCTGAGAGGGGAAGAGGAGGCTGTATGCTTTAGGGGCTCACTACAGAGGACAGCATTTCCTAGATTAAGGTCATTTATTTGTTAACAGAACACTGTCACTGAGGAGAGCATGTTTTTTTTCGTGCCCTTGTTGTAGCTGGGCTTTTTGACACTGGCTCTGTCATTACATGTCTCTCAAGAGCCTGAAGGTTCCCGCTTTACTTAATGAGCAATTCATACTTTATATGAGATACTGAATGCAGTAGTTCTTCTATATAAACTAATGTAGTGCAGAGTCACTGCGTCACTCTGCTGCCTTGGCTGCTCTGCATACAAGTTTCTTTGGGCAAAACATAGACAAGGTCAACTGTAATTCCAAAGGTTCACTGCCAGCAGCAGAGAGATTAATAGAATTCCTCATGTTGAAACTGTGTCAGTGTTTCCTTTCTATTTACATTTTTGCCTCTCACTAACTGAAGCATATCAGTTACTTTGCCAAGCTATGTTGAAGGTAAAAGTGTACGTGTTTCTGATGCTGATCACATGTAGTGTTACAGTGCATTCTATTATAATTGTACTAAACTCAGTGGCAGGAAAATAGCCCTAATCCTGAGCATCTAAGATTAGCATGACAGCAGACGTCATATGGCCCAGTGTGGTCGGGTTGGCTTTTGTTGTCAGATTTAGGTCAACAGCTTAAAGATGGCCTTGAACTGTAATTGATGCTGATGGGCCCATCTCAGTTAGATTATTCTCTTCTAAACAATGATACATAGTTTAAGAGTCTCATCAACCAGTGGACCTTTGCTTTGAAAAGATTTTTAAATTGCCAAGCTGATTGTTTTCCAACTGCTACGCAGATTTAATTAAACACTTATCAACTTGAATCCATCTTCTAATCCCAGCTCATTTTCAAGGTGGCATTAAAACTGCCACCTCATTGCCCTTACTGTCATGACAACTTGCAGACCTTGGTCACGAGGATGGATTTCAGCCTGATTAGAAGCCTGCTACCTTGTTACGACCTTTGGTCCCTGTTGCTGCTTTCTGAACTATTTAGGCTGGTGGCTGAGTGGGTTGCCATGGCCCTTCGTCATAGTCGAGGACTGCTGTCCTGGGGTGTGACCTGCTATGTTGGTCCCCTCAGTGGACACCAAAGGTGAGAACGGCATCAGATGGCAAGGTGGAAACTCTGTATTAATTAACCTTTATTGGATGGAGCCAGGACTGTCGGAGGTATCCTGTCTCCATGGAAACCATGCTGACAGGGTTCAGAGCAGAGGTCTCCCAGGGCAGTGCCGCTGACAGTGTCATGGCAACTGGCACAATGCTCACCCCAGTGTCACTGGCTCTGCCCTCCTGACAGTGGTGTGGTGTGACAGGTGCACCTGATCTTTAAACCCCCCCCAATACACAAACACACACACACACACACACACTTGACAGTCAAGTACAGCTTGTCTGTTAGCTATATCCTTGTTATGATCTCCACTGCCTTTGCACTGTACCTATAAACAGAGCTCAAGTCAGTTTATTTTTGCTCTTGTCTTCTGATTTAAAACAGTTGAGCCTCCAAAGTGCTAAGCCAGGAATTAAAGACAATGTAGTGGTGATAGTGAATGTATGTGTGTGCTTTGTGCATGTGTGTGTCTAAGCATGAATGCTTAAATGTTTATATGTATGGATATGGGTGAGTGGGTGTGTGGCTGCTGCTTTATGTAGACCAAGGATTGTATTGTATGAGATGCTGCTGAAGTGCATAAGGAGCAGGAGGTGGTAGGGGGATAATCCACTGAAATGACAAGCTGCATAAGAAATTGTTCACAGCTCTCACAAGGTACTTCACTTTTGAAAGACATTGCTGTGAGGGGCTTAGAGCTCAAGACCTGAATGTTTTCAAGATGGTGGGCTTGAATTTTCAATTTGGATTCAATCAGACTTAATCTACATTTGTCGTCTGTTCGGTAGCTGTGAGGGGAGAGTGCAGAGAGGAGAAGTAGCTGTGTGCAGTCAATCTGAAATGTTGCTAAGTAACAGAGATGGCAGACAAGGTGGTGCAATAATGTGATATATTGCGGTGCAAATCCCTGCTTCTCACACAGTTTCTCCTTTTTCTTCTCATTTTCTCCACCCAACCATTTCTGATTTCTCCCTTCCTCCTTTTCTCTCTTACTCATTCCCATAGGTCCCCCCAAGCTGAAAGGCGCCACTGACCAAACCACCGCCAGGACTTAGGACAGACATCCCAAACATCCACAACTACGGAATGTGTCAACATCTTTGTGGTGAAATCCTGCTGACTCCCCGCTTGTTACTCTTATAAGCCTGGAGCTGGGCCTTGTGGGATCCTACGGTGCTGAAAGGCATACAGCGATGCCTGGGAGGCCTACCTGCCCCAGATTGCCTCCAAACATGGTTGCTGTTTTACCACGGTGCTGACTGTGCCCACTACGAACCGCGATCACATCCTGCCAGCGCATTCCTCAGATTTCATCCCCGCAGACTCACTCTGTGAAACTGTCTTCCTTCTTTTTAGTATTTGGAAGTACATGCCACTGTCAACCAGATGACCTAGTGGACATTTGTTTCCCAGTAGCAGTGCTGAACCATACGAGGGGACCCTAGTATTGAACATGACTCATGGGGAGGAGCCTGGCCCTGAGACACACAAGGATTCAGTTGTTCTAACTTATCTGGAAGGTTTACTGATGCATCCAGTGGTGGCTGGGCCGGGGGCCACAGCGAGCGGGAGGTCTGATGCTGCCCACAGCAACCAGGAGCAGGGTGACAAAGTGGGTGGTCCCTACCAACTGCCCAACCATGGCCCCACAGCCCCCAAGGCTGGAACTGCTGGGCCCACACTAGGTTCTTCACAGCATCTGAAAAAGGCCCGCCTACTGCGCTCTGGAGCCTGGAATGATCCGGGGAACCAGCGGATGAGTTCACCCCCAGTGGAGCTCAATGGCCAAGGGGGAGGCCTGCAAAATGGAGCACTAGAGGGATCTCCTCATGCTGGGGAGAGCACCCTGTTGGCTTCCCTGCTTCAGTCATTCAGCTCACGGCTTCAGAGTGTGGCAATGTCTCAGCACTCTAATAAGCCCCCCAGTGAGTGCTCCTCTCCATCCAAGGCACCACCTGTAGAAAAAGAGCCACTTCCTCTGTATGGGACAGCCTCAAGCCGCTTGAAGGGCCTAATGAGGAAGAGCAAACTTCAAAGTCACAGTAACTCGCCTTATATTCGCCGGGGACATAATCAGGACAGACCCCCAGAATCACCTCGGTCAGCAAACAGCGCTACGCCTCCCTCTGCTCCTGCATCTGCTGAATCAGTGTCCTGTGCGGAGCGCCTGAAGGCAGTGGCCAACATGGTGAAAATCCGTTCTAGTCCAGCACCTTCACCCAAGCCCAGTGTGGCCTGTAGTCAGCTGGCCCTGCTCCTTTCCAGTGAAGCACATCTTCAGCAGTACTCCAGAGAGCACACGCTCAAAGCACAGCTCTCTGGAAGATCTGCTAGCGAGAGACTAGCTGCTATGGCAAATCAGCAACATGGCCAGGACAAAAGGCCACCTAGTGTGGGAGGGACTCTGCCTGGAACCCCAGACACACCAAGCTCCTTAACAACCCAAAATGGAATGACAAAAACCACAGTAACAACAACACTCTCTCGAACGGCCCTGTCGAGTCCACAGAGCCCATCTTTGCTGCGTGGCCACAGCCAAAGCTCCCCAGCCACTACCCCACATGCTCCAAGCCACACTCACAATCAGTCACCTAGGGAGAAGCGAGGCTTTGACTCGCGTCCAGCTCGCCCCCCTCAGACATGCAGCAGCTTGCTGCTGCTGCTACTTAACAACCACAACAGCCAGAAGCAGCTGACCAAGAATGGGCACCTAGAGGACAGTTGTGGCATTCTGCCACCAAGCGGCTCTTCTTCAGTCACATCAGACAGCGAATGCTCCACCCAGGAGAGGAGCCTGACCAAGGACAGCAGTGATGCAGAGAGTTCCTACTCCAGTTGCTCTCCCATTGACCTCTCCATTAGAAATCGGGCATATGTTCAAGACACAGGGCCCAAAACTACTACCCTCTCTTCCTTCTCCTCTTCCACCTCTACCCTTTCTTCTTCCACCTCAGTGTTTTCCTCCACCCCAGCTGCATTCTCTCCTCAAGCTTCTGCTCAGTCCTTCACCACAGCTGTTTCACCATCCTCTACTGTTGTCTCCTTTGCTTCCAATGCTATTTCTTCATCTTCATCCTCCTCTATCTCTACCACCTCCTCCCTTGAAAAACTAACTGAATCTTTAATGAACAAGTGGAAGCCAGAGCCATCAGGATCAAAATTGTCCAAGAACAAGGAGCCTGAAATGAGCCCAGATCTAAAATCCCACTCTAAAGTCACTCTTATGCAGCTTCTTCTTGAGCGTAGAAATAATGAGATGGTTAATAAAAGTGCAGGTAACCAGGATTTGCCAATTGATGTTACAATGACCACTATGTCTCAAAGCCAACCAAAGGGACTGGTGCCCTGGGAAGAGACCAGGACCAAAAGTCTCGCAGATAGGCCTGTAGCCCCAGTCCAGCCCCTTTACTCACTTAGTCGTGACCCAAGTGGTGCACTATCCCCATACTCCTATCCCTCCCCCCATGTCCAGTCCAGCCCTCTGGATTTGTGTAAGTCCAAAACCTTCCCTGCAGAGAAGGCTTCGGAGCCCGCCTTCAGTGCTAGTAAACTGTTGCAGAATCTGGCTCAGTGTGGGACAGCTTCTTCTTCCCCACCCATTCCACTGAGCATAGGCCTGGGCCAGGAGCTTGATACCAGCAGGCCCCTTGCCCTTTTGGAAAGGCTCAATGCACCAATCCACAGGACCACTACCACTCCACTCTCTGATGGGCCCTCAGGCAGTGGCACACCTTTCAGTCTGAAGGAAGCTTCTCCTCCTTCATCACAGATTGAGAACCTTCTAGAGAGGCGCACTGTGCTGCAGCTCCTTCTGGGAGCAGGCTCAGCTACTGCTACAGTCAGCCGCAAAGATAGGACCAGCGGGAGTGGCAGGAGGAGTGTGGAGATGGCTGGGGGGTGCTATGAGAAGAGCCCTGGTGCCTCCATCATCTGCGACAGCTCCAATGGGCCTCCTTTGGATGTAAAACTCAAAACAGAGGTCACGGAGGGGGTTGGGCCATCCTCTGCCATGTCTGAGGACTTAAGTGGCAGAAAGAGACCTAGTGGCTATGAGAAGAATCGCCTCCTTTCAGATTCTCAGTCAGACTTAAAAACAGAACCACGGCCTGCAGAGGTCATAGCAAAATATGGTCTACTCAGCCAGCTGCTTAAACAACAGACTGCTACCTATTATACCAGTGCTCCTATGCAGACTGAGTCACAGCACAGACAGGTTAAAGAGGAACAGAAGGAGTATCCAAGCCCTAGTCCTAAGAAGAGACGCCTCTGCGCTGATCAGACTGAGAGTTTAAATAATATCAGCTCTCCAAGAGCACTGGACAGGGGTAACACAAACATTTTTACATCCTCTGTTGCTTTGGAAGAGCCTGACCAGCAGAGGAGTCTAAAGGAAGAAGAGGCTGCATCTAGGAGCCCACCAAATGAAAGCCTCAGCAGAGAGAGTCGGGGCTTCAATGTGCTCAAACAGCTGCTGCTCTCTGACAACTGCCTGAAGGAACTGTCCCAGCAGCCCCGGGGGGCACCCAGTCCTTCCGTCCTGCAGGCCAATGGCAAGGCCAATGGCAGCATTCTCAGTCCACCTGTCCATAATCACAGCTTCCTCCACCTGCCCAGCTGGCACCCCCATGGTTCCGTCAGTTCGGTGCTTCAGGGTAATCTCAGACCAGTGCCCACCTCCCCTGCAGGTGACAGCCCTATCCGTACCCCCTGGAGTCGCCACCCATCTTCGTGGCCTGTCCCTCAAAAACGGGACCCTCCTACTCTAGTCAAGCAAGAGCCTGAGAGCCCTGTGCGATGGAGTAGTCAGGAGAGTGATAATCAGGAGGAGGGTTGTGACTCTAACCCGGACTCTCCCCGCCTCTCTCGTTCCAACCCCATCCTGTATTACATGTTGCAGAAGGGCAGCCTTCAGCTGAGGAAGGAGGTGAGAGACCAGGCAGCGGGAAGCCAGTCTGTGGTCAGAGTTAAAGAAGAGCCAGTCAGTGATGTGCATGCCTATGAACACAGTCTGCGCTCCACCCCACAGTCACCAACACACAATGACAAGCACAGCCATGAGAGCCAGGGGTTGAGCCAATGAGGCAATCATCTGAGTGGAAGTTGTATCAACTAAAGAAAAATACAAAGTGAAAATCTAGCTCATTGACTCTTTTTTTAATGACTTGCCAAATTGGTTTGAAAAGACAAATGTTAAAGAATGCAAGCTTTGTTTTTTTTATCAGTGGATTTAGAGCGAATTCAAATTTGAATGCATACTTACTTGCATTGCTTTCTCAACTTTAAGTAGTTAGGTCATTGAATGGTACAAACAAAAATGTATAATACAACCAAAATGACACAACTGTCACAAATTTCACCTTCATATCAGTGATTTATCATGCACTACATATTTCATTTTGTCAGTTATAAAGCTCTCCTTTGCAATTTGGTCTTTTTTGTTTGTTTTTACACTTATTTGTACATTTATTTTACATTTAATACTTTTATCCAAATTGCACACACATCACTATTCCATGTCATCTTTTTTTTTCAGCCAGCCATAAAACATTTAGAAAGAACATTTCAAACATTTATTATTGATGACTCCAAAAATGTTCAGTGCTCGGTTCAGTGAACATTTATTTATTTTATTATCTGAACATTTTCAGATGGAGTCCCATCAATTTCAGAGAAGATTCCAAATAAAGTTGTTCTGTATTAGCCACAAAAGTCAATTCAAACAATGTACATGTTACATTCATTGAAAGGACTTTGAAAACAATATCCACACTGCAATAACTTCAGTGAGGATCCTACCACAATGATTCGTGGTGTGGTATAATTACCATTGGAGAGAGAATATGTCAGCAGAGGTTTGAATGGTCACAGTTCATTGTATTTAGCTTTTATTTGGGTTGAACTTTTAAGGCCAGTATTCAACAGTGCAAATTCAGGATAATGTTTACAGATTGTGCAGTTTTGAGCAGATGGGTCAACAGAGCATGTGCGGTGCTTACAGTTGAGCAACTGTGTGTAAACAGGTTTCTGGAGCAACAGTTAAAAGGCTGCAGTGTCTGAGAAACTTATCTTACCCCCCTGGGTAAAGCCGCACCACGCTTCATGCACACAAAACTATGAGTGTCAAAAGAAAAGAGGAAAAAGCCATATGCTTTTATTTTTCATGTCATATAAAGGAGCACCCAGAGTTTGCATTGTTGAAGCTGAGTCCTCTGTGTCCTTTTCAGATTCATTTAATGGCATGTAATAAAAAATGTCAGTATTGTTATCTGTTGAGAATTTGACAGTTTGTGATTTTATTTTTTTCATAATTTCTTGACTGTTGTGCTTTATGGGCATCTTTTATTTTTGTGGCAGTCTCTGAACACATAAAATGTTAAAAGAATTGCATGACAATAAAGAGAAGACCACAGGTTCATCTTTGATTTCAAAGCAGCTGGATATGTGTACCTGCCCCCCCAGCAATCACCAAGACATGTTGGTGTCTCGAGGGATATCTGGTATCTAGTTCCTGCTTTTGATTGTACTGTATTTTCAGTTATTTTCACACACCGCTTTATCCATTTAGTCTTGTGATCTTTTTTAATACATATACATATGAAGTATGTCTCTTGAATTATGAATACATTTTCACAATGGTTAAATATATTTGTGTAAATAGTACTTTCAGTATGAAAGATGACTATTTTGTAATGTTTAAGAAAAGATATTACCCTAGTTTTTAATGCCCTGATATGTAAATATGAATTATATGCAGACATGTGTACATACAAAGGCAGAGGATGCTATGCCCATTTTTTTTTTTTTTTTAAAGTTGGTTTGTTCTTTGCATGCGTCTCTATGTGGTAAATGATAATCTATCCTGCGCTGTGTTGTGTAATAATGTCTGACTCTCCTCACTGCTGCCTGTTGCATGCAGACGCATGGGAACTACCTGTGTATCCCTACTGGTGATGGGGGAAAATGTCAAGTCTTAATATAGGTCTTTTTTTTTTTTTTTTTAAATCACAGAGAGAGGTTCATTTAGAATATGAACAGTCCCTAAATAACCACAGACTGTTGAACAAGTTGATAAAAATGTGTGAAAAATAAACGTGCATTGAATATTTTTGTGATTTTTCTTTTCTGTTACTGGTTAACGAAGCTCTGTGAACGAGCTGGGGGCTGTAGTGGGGGATTGACGTACAATCATAGTTCTCCATTGTGCATCAAAGAAAAATGTTTGTAGCAGCAAATATGAAAAAAAAGTTTCTTTTTTTTTTCATGTGAAGACCTGAAACATTATTTCATTTTTTATGTTCAATTTTGGTGTTCATTTGCACTGATATCTCAAAAATAAAGTACTAAAATGCATGACCTAGTATGAATGTGTTCCTCTTTTTCTAGTTTGCCATAAAATATTACGTATTCTAAGGTGTTATCTGGGCTGTAATCTTTCAGGTGTCTATTTCACTAAATTATTTAAAGCAATACTAGTCTTTAAATACAATATACTGCTCAAGGGCCATGTACTGCATCATCTTCATTTGTGTGAGTAGACAAATTAACTGAATATATTAACATACACTAAAAGAGCCAGTAGGAAAGTTATCACACCATACATCCCAGTGTCAGACTTGTGCCTTGCTTTAACAGATATAATCAAAAAAAGACATAAAAGCAAAAACCCCAGTTTGTGTAATCAAAGACCGGTCTGTTAAAGTAGACTCAGAGGATGTCCTGTATTTGCTCTAAAACTCCAGCTTCGTAGTTGGCTGCTGTTCACTACAGTGCTGAGTATTAACAAAGACAGGAAAGACACTGAAAGCAGGGAGGACACGTAGAGTTCACCAGATGTAAGCTGAATGCACAAGGATGTGTCTTACAAAATGGAACATGCATCTTTTATTTAGAGCCCAAAATAGATTCCATTTTACACTGGACACAAAACCTTAACTTTTGTGTTCATTCTGGATAGTTGTCCATTTTGTGATCATTTTCTTGACTTGGGAGAATCAGTCGGTAGCATGAGACTTCCTAAAGGTGAAGATGAGTTCAAGCTAAACTTCCCTCACACTGGGTTTGAATATGAAGTCCAGTAAGTGAACAGACAGCTTTTTGTCCGCATTGCACTTTTGAAATCACAGTCCTGACTTCCCTTTTATTTAATCCTCCCCATGACTGACTGCACTCTCTTTAAACTCCCTGTAACCTTTCCCCTCTGTGAACTTCTCCATTTCAAGATTCTTATCAAGGTTGAACCAGCAGTAACCTCTTGATTTCCTCTGATTGCTGAAGCAGTGGCAAACATAAAGGAGGGAGTCACAAGTTTAAGCTGAGGTCAAGGTGTAAAACTTGACAATTGGCTGTTTGTCTGGGACTTCTCTCTTTGATTTTCTGACCTCAGCATGAGGCCAAAAGGATGTGAGCACTGCACACTAGGCCACCAGTGACTCAACAACAGGCTGAAGGCGCTGAAGTCTCACAACAGGCATTTCATAGTTATGAGACCTCTAAAAACTATTTCCTGCCTTTTCAAATACTTCTCTGACAAACAATTTGATGGCCACACTTAACTTGTTCTGTCAAGATTTTATCTACATGGCAACATATAAGCTCCAAAAACAACAGCTACCCTTGTGCTTAGATGTTAATGAGATACTTTCTTGTTAGTTGCTTTGTTTATTCACATGGAGGCCATACAGAGCTAACACTTGTCACTAGTTGTCATGGTGACTGGTGTGATAAATATGCTCACAGATGTTCGATCACCCTCTCCTCGACAAGTGTTTGAACTTTGAGTGCATGGTTTGACCTCATATGTTATGTAAACATACACACACACAGACACACAATGGTAGCATTTTGTGAGCCCTCTTTTGGAGAGTAATAAAGCCTATATGAATAAAATGCTAAACTACCTGACTTTCTTCCTAAAATCCTTCTGTACTTTGCCTTAGGGTAATGCTGCTACAATTCTTGGATGAGTGTAAAATACATGAGAGCAGTGCCTCAAGTCAGACAACAATAAAGCAGTTAAAGCAAACACCTGGGGAAACCCCTGCTCTGAGAAAGAAGGTCAAACTGGTTTATTTTCCCAACCTTACACTGGTTCCCCCAGTGGGGCCTTTGCTTTTGAAGATGTACCTCTTTGTGAAGTCTGTTCCTCCACCCCCGGGGTTGTGACCTTTTGTGCACCTCTTTGCCCTGACCTGGCTGATCCTGTTTCCCGGGACAGGATCAACTGTTTGACTGCAGCTGTGCACCCCCCCTTACACACACACACACACACACACACACACACACACAACCACACAACAACACAACAACACAACAAACCACCAGCACCACCCACCTTCCTTCCCCCTTTCTTCCCCTCCCCAGCATTACACTCAAGCCATTGCAACGTTTCATGTAAATATGAGAATTGTCAGCACAGCTTAAGTGCTTTCTTTTCTTTCATGCCTATAGGCTCTTGACCCCTGCTGCTTCCCATGGCCTCCTAGTATGTATACACAGAGCAGTAATTAGTCATAAATGACAAATAGGCTTGATATGGAGAGTGTCTGCAGAAAAGACTGGAAACAATAATAAGCAACTTACTATATTTCACATTTGAACCCAAGGGTGTACATTACAAGATTAAAGTGCAAGAATTGATTAGATAGTAGTCAAAGTCAGTAGCAGCTATTTTGTAATGTTTTTGTACCAATAGCCATGTACAAGAATGTAAACAGATCCAGTGTAATATTCATAAAGAGTGAGAGTCCCTCTTGTCCACAGAGCTGCCTGTCAACTGTCAGAGGATTCTTGGCTGACATTGAAAAAGCATGGATGATATTTGCCATGCCAGCACAAGAGTAAATGTTTTACAGATTGGCCAAGGAGAACTAACTAATGCCTGCTAATGCCTTGTACCATTGCAGATCTTTTCCGAAGGGGAGGCATTCTCTTGTGTTCTTTCTCATACATCAGTAGCTTTTGATTGATGAGGATAAAAGCAAATCCACTCTGTGGTCAGTTATGTTTGCAGAGGTGATTCATTTCATTTTTCACTTAAATGTACTGTCACTTTGAATCTAGAGAGAGAGTAAACAATTAACAGCCATCTCAGCCATATTTTAACACTTTCATATGAAAAGTCTCAGCTTAAGGAAATGTATTTAGCACTGATTTCCTGTAGGTTGCATCAGAAACGATGACACTGTGGTTGACCTGCGGGGTCATGAACCGTTCAAGTAAACATTCCTCAAACTCCCCAGTTGAATGAGAGAGGGCAGTTCAGTGTCAACCACTCTGGAACTTTGTGCAGCATGAGTTAAGGGCCATTTAGGACAAAGCATGCCAAATTTAACTCAGTTAAGTTTGTGGTCTGATGTTCCACTCAGTGTGAAGTCATACAGAAACAACTAATAAACCTGCAGCTGGCATTCAAAAGAGATTTAGTAACATCTCAAAAACTGTTAGGAGCATTTTAAAAACTGACTATTTAGAAGAGCAATCAAACTGTAAGAAATGAAGAAACAACAAAAATATATTATTTTGCTATTGTTCAGTATTTTGAAATGCTAAACAGCAGTGCAAACACTCCAATTGACATAAAAATATGTACAAACATTCATGGTTTCCTGACATTTCATTTTTTTGGTGACTGTTTCCAACCAAATACATTTTATGTGATCACTGACTATAATCCTTGATGTACTGTGGTGCCTGTCAGGCAAGTTGTCTTCCTATTTCCTGTATCATATATTAACATCCATGATAGACATTTTTATCTGTACTTGATATTAAATATGAGGATCAGGTACTAAAATCTCTGTGTGACACAGTAATTTCCCCTGGCCACACTGAGGTTTGTTAAATGAAGACTAAGGCCTACGGTCCCATGCTTTAGTATGAGGTACAGTATAAAAGCGTTCAGATGACACATCCATTTTTATGGTTTCATGTTCTGTGACAGATACATATCCTGTTGGGAAATTATGAATCACAAGTGTTGAAAAGAACTACTGAGGTTTGCTGTTAGAAAGAGACTGAATGATATACTGAATGACTGTCCATTGATCCAATGGCTACAATCCATGTGTACCAAAATTATTGGCATTCCCCCCGAGGAGCTGGAGGAAGTGTCTGGAGAGAGGGAAGTCTGGGCATCTTTACTTAGACTGCTGCCCCCGTGACCCGGTCCCGGATAAGCGGAGGAAAATGGATGGATGGATGGATTTTCCTATGTATAAATTAACCATATATTATACTTCTTATTGGATAACCAGTATCAAGATTTACCAATTAAGAGGTTGCACTTTGTGTCTTTAAAAATGGTGAAAGATAAGTTTCCGTACACAGAGAACCTTGACTCTGCTTCCAGAAGACATCCTTAAACATACTGAATGTCACAATGACTGTGCCAACTCCTCTGGACTCACTGGAACCATTATGTAAAAGACTACACTCATAAAAATGATCACAACTCAGTTTCATATAGTATAGTAACTAACACAGTGGTCTATTTTAGAATGTGTGGACAATATTGGATGACATTTGGTCAGCCAGATTCTGAGGGGTAACTGCTGCAAGCCTTTACTTAATAAATAAAAAAGATCTTTATTCACAGTAACTCTACAGTGTCCATCTGCAGCCCTGGAGCCTGGCCTATCTCTAAAACCCCTGAGTAAAATGTGGACAGTGAGTAAAACCTGGCAAGTGCACAAATAGACTCAAGAGGGCAGCACTGAAAAGATACCCATGGATGCAACACAAGATTTTGTTTCCAAAACACTGTTGCAACATAATGTGTGTGCAAACTGTCTACATAAACACAACTCAGCCTGGTCTGTTCGCAAAGGTTGTTTTAGCATCAGAATAGGCGCCATGCTTGGCTGTTCTTCTGCAGGATCCCAAGGATGTGGACACCAGTGAAAACATGGGTGTAATAAAAGTAACAATTAAACTAGAACCAACAGTTAGAGCATTTAAATCCCCAGGCAATGATTTTTGAAAGACAAGACCGTCTGCTTCTATGATACCACACGGATTAATATTTCACAGTTTCATTCAATGTGCAGGCTAAGGTTAAAGACATTACAGGTTTACCTGCCACAAGTCAAGCAGATATTCTGGACAACAGATCATCAAATACCCTAAATGTTATATATACACCTCAAATAAATTTGAATCACAGTGTTCAGCATGCCCCCCAAAGGAGGCTCCCTGTTCAAAAGACATAAGAACTGCATGTTAGGAAATAAAAATCTGAAATGCATCAGTTGTATCTATCCCACAGGACACAATCTGTATCCATCCTAGTCATTTTATTCCTTGTTTGTGTATTTGCTCAAAATGCATATGATTTTATAAATTTGTATTAAACTGCATTTGCTATATACTGTACAGTACATTTTATGTGTGCTGGATGACTGAATCAGACAAAGAGGAGGGGGATTTTGAATGAATGAAGCTATTATTATACAGCCCTCGGGCTCACTCTCAGGATCCGTTTTGATCTTCAACAAACAAGTCTGAGCTCTTTATATATCAGCTTGTCTGCCAAGGATCTATCCAGACTGCAGCAGCTACTGTTTGACTTTGCCAAATGATCCATCAACTTATTTTCTGATTAGTTTCCTGACAGCTTCCCAGATTCTCTGACTGATTGCTCTACCTCCTACCTTGAGGTCAAGTTGTGTGATGTGTCTGCTCAAACAAGAGCACTGTTTAAAGAGGTGTTCTGGGTGTTTAGGATAACATTCACACACTCTGGTGGTCAGTCAATAATTTAGCATGCTGCACCTAGAAGTATGAGATAGTGACTAAGGTGCAACACTGAAAACTGGAAACAACTGTGATTTGTAACTGCTGCTGCGTAGGTCTGTCATTAAACAATCTAAAGCTACAAAGGAGGACATTGCCATCTACTGGAAAAAACACTTAATAGCTAATGCTTGTATTGACTCAAGCACTGAGGCTATAACAAAACATTTTTTTATAATGTATGCGCTTATATACTGTAGGTTTACATATAAAATCAAATTACATTCAGCATGGTTTTTAGTACAATTCCTTATGCTATGAAACTGCACAAAACTGAAATGTATACTTATGAAATCATCCCTCTTACACCCCTGATGTTGTTTATAAACTGTTCCTCCAATATCAAGTTCTGACTATTCTCATTAATATTTATGTGTACTACTTAGATGACACAGTTCATATGAACAAAGCATGGTGACTGCTTCAGTTATAACTATTACAACAATGCTATTCCTGAACATCTAAAGGATGACCCAGTTCTGTGTGAGAGGACTGTTCTCTTCCATCTTGCACTGAATTAATAACAGCTGACAGATTTGAATGCCCAGTGTTTGGATGTTGGTCTGAAAAATGAGGCCAGATATAGGACATATTTTAGATGACAAATCCTGGATGTATTTATTATTCAAATATTCACACACTATGAAAAATCATAATATGAATAACTGCATTTTAATAACTTTTGCATTACCATGTAAACAGCATGTTAATGTTAATGTTTATTTAAGTTGGAGCCAATTTTATGATTTATATGATAGTTATATTGTTTATATTGTTTTGGCCTGTCAAGTTGGATTATTTTAAGTTGCTTCCAATAAAAGCCAGCTTGTTTCAATAACCTTTCACTAATTTATGTGAGAGTATCTGAAAGAGGGCAGAATAAGATCAGTGAATAATCCGACAAAAATATCACATTATTTTAGAATATTCATAAAACTAAAATTAATTAATAAAACAGGTTGAAATAGTTTTATGACAGTAGAAGATGTTTACCCACTGTGTTAAAACAATAGGCCTACAACATTTAGGACTGAAAAATAGATGAATTAGTTGGTAGAAGGAAGATTTTTACAGTGATTGCACTATGCAAAATGTTAACCTAGAAAATAGCTCAATCTGATAAATTTGGAGGGCTTGAAAGTTCAATAATCTCCCCCTCAAATGTAGTGAAATAAAAGTATAAAGTAGCAGAGAATGTAAATACTCCAACAATTACCAAGTTCCTTAAGTACCAAAGTTGGACTTACAGTAAGTACAGTGCATAAGTAAATGTAGTTACCTAACACCTTTCACTGCTTTTAATTAATGATCAGATGTAGTGTTTTGGAAGCTGTGGAAATGATCAGTATCTGAATCTACATACTCATCACACATTTCCAAATGAAACTGAATGCATTTTAATATTATGCCTCTTGTAGCATTACTGTTGCAATTCCACAAGTTTGTGCTGTCATCATAGCACCTCCTGGAGGTCAGGTATAGGTCTTGCCTTAAAGGATAAAGAGCAGGAGCAAACAGCTGAGGTTTAGGTTTGTAGAAGCCTATATACACTTAATACAGCAGCATCAGTCCAGTAGCGACATCACAGCAGTGCTTTTGTATTTGCTGCTGTCATGTCACTCATAGATACAATACATATCATTTTAAAGGATATTTAGAATTGTTATTTTATATTTGATATTTATAACACGGTTTCAGTCTCACCTGACAGTGATCGACATTTCTCATGTGAAATCAAATTACCAAATTGTTCTATAAATTGTGTGTACAAAATGAAGAAAGAATCAGACACAATTTTCACAGTTATTGGTGTTGTATATCATAATACCTGTAAACTGTCAATAAAGTCAAAATTTTGGCATATATTTTAATGCTATGGTGCTGAATTGTTAAGTTAATCTCAGTCTAAATATTTTTTTTTTATTTCATAACATATGGTCATAATTTTATGAGATGAATCAGTCATACTGAAGTTAACCCTGATAAGAATATGATGAATATGATTATGTTGCACTGATTACTTTGCTTCTTCCGTTGTGACACCATTGTGTATTGCAATTGTAAGGATGTGTTGCAAAAATAACTTTACCTGAATGTTAAAATCATTAACAAAACCATTAACCTTGATGATTTGTTGCATATGAAGAGCAAATAATAAACAATACCTGCAGAGCTACACAATTTAACAATGTGATGAAAGGCAAAAACTGAGCAGCACAACATACCATTCACAACTTATTTTTTCTGTTGAATGTAAAATAGTATTAGCTGTGCTCAGTGTTTTTATAGAATATTAAGAATATATCCACCTGCACCTAAGTTATAAAGATGTCCATGAGACTAACACTTGTTTCTATTTTGGTCAAACATACTGGCATTCCATAACTAGACAAACACTGAGTGCATGGATATGTATTCATCCAGCTTTGATCTTTCTAAAATGTCAGACCAATTTCAATTTACAGTGAAATGTTACAGCTATTCTTTCCTTTCTTATTTTGCAAAGCTAAAGTAATATTGCAGTATGCATATTCAGAGCAAAAGAGATAAGAGTCAAATATAAAACTACATTCAAAAACTATTGATGGTAGGACCTACTATATAGGCCAACATTTCCTATCGTTGTTTTCATATTATCCTAGTCAAAACTGTGTCCATTTAGCCAACTACAGGTTTTCCTTGAGAAAAGACGTTACATTTTGGATACTGTATCATTGGCAGGGCCCCCCATAATGCCCATCTGGGCGGGAGGTGTGTAGTTCTGGGTCGGTGGAGTTGTTACTGTGTGTTAGTGTTCCTGTGTTCTGTGGTTACTGTGTGTCCCCCGGCTGATAATAAAAGAGAAAAAGACGAGCTCTGGGGCTTGACCCTTTTTACCCAGCTGACGTTAAATTTTGTCAAGATCAAGTACTTATTGCATAGTCTTGTTCATGGCATGGTCAAGACCAAACAACACATGTTCACCACATTAAGTAAAGGAGTGGCAGATGTGGACAATAATAAAAACATTAATATGAGACCAAAACAATATGATTCTTATCATATTCCACATAATTTCCAAACGCCTGTCTGATCTGTGAGGTAAATGCACTAATGACAGACGTGAGTAATCGATCCCAGAGTTCAGGCAGGGAAGACCAATGTTTTCATGCCTGCTGACGACCTGGGTTCGTCATTTTGCCATGGCGCCCGTAATTTCGCTGATCAGGGAGGAGACATCATAATACCGTGTTTTAATTCGCTTTAGTAAAAGCTATTCCGTGCGTTTAGCTACTCCCGGTTTGAGTTGTAATACATTTATATCTGAACCGGCCATGACCGTGGAGCAGAATGTCCTCCAGCAGCATTCTCAGAAGGTAAGCTTACAGAAGCTAACTTTAGCCTAACTGTATGGCTAACAGTTTTATTGCTCACAGTACTTGTAAAATCAGCTCTCGGGCTATCATGCTTAGTTAGGTTAGCCTAGAATCATTGTTTTATTAGAGTTGTGGGACGCATGTTGATAAGGAACCGTTTGCAAATTAGTTAAGATAGGCGTAACGTTTTCCTAGCGTAAAGCGTTATCCAGTATTTTGCTAACTTAGCTTAGCTGTTGGCCGGAGCGTTAGCTGACAGTAGTAATGTTTGTTGTGTAAGTTGTAACATTATAACGTTAACGGTGGCTTGCGGTTCACATTATTTTTGGACGATATTCAGTTCGGTGACGTTAGCATTTTGGGCTAACTATGTTGTCAACTAAAATAAATAAGGCCAAGTTACAGACTTAACGTTAGTGTCGTCAACTTCGTAGTATTGAGTAACCAGATCTTTTATTTCACGTGGCGCATTATTGAAGACATTGCACTTTGTAGGGTACGACTAGCATAATAATGCTTATCTAGTTTAGTCAGTGAGGGCGGCTATTTATGTTTGTGTTTTTACATGTTTCCTGGATTGCTCATCATATATCTGAAATCTTTGTTTACAAAGTACAGGCTAGCGAGGGGCGGAGGTAGAAACAGGTGAGCCGTGCAAGCTTGGCGGGGATTGAGTAGCTTGATAAAAAGCCAAGTGTGTGATGGTTAATGACTGAAGGCGGATGATCAGGTTACATTTCATCATAACTCTTAGTTTACAAAAGGGCACTAATGGTTGCTTGGGCTCCTGGTTACGGGGTTTACTCTATAACCGCCAAGCCCCGCACTGCATAGCTCTGCTCGGTTATGCAACGTTAACCACTGATACGTGGGCAAGATGCTAGTCCAAATAAAAAGAAATTGTAGTTTTTGCATAAGAGTTGCGTAATCGTAGTTATGTTTTACTACACTGCATACAATTCAGTACTGTGGTTCCGCAGCGTAGGCCCACTGTGCTAAACCTAATCTGCCATATTTCACTTGCCTAAAAAATATAAGCTAGCAGGGTGAAGTGAATATCCGATGGGTTGGTGACATTCAGGAGGTTGGAACACATGCAAAAATAAATACTTAGCGGTCCTTGATGACTCAGACTTAAAAGTAGCAGTGTAACACAAACCCTGTTATGCAGTCTGACCTTTTCAAGAGCTGAAATTATATCAGCAAAAATGGTCTAGAAAAATTTCATAGATTTTTGAGCAATTTCAGTTGCATGACTTAACTTTTGCAAATAACTTTTAGATTTTACACACTTTTATAAAATTCAGCATGCAGAGCTGTTCGGGTTTGATTTATTGTGACAACGCATGAGTGTAGTATAGGCTAGTCATAACTTCACCAAATAGGTGCAGGTTTTAGTCATATGAGGTCATATTGCATGACCTGGAATTCAGTGGTGGAAAGTAACTAAGTACATTTACTCAAGTACTGTACATAGGTACATTTCTGAGGTATCTGTACTTGATTGTTTTTATTTTCTGCTACTTCATAATTTTACTTCACTACATTTTAAAGGCAAATATTGTACTTTTTACTCCACTACATTTATTTGATAACTTTAGTTACTAGTTTTCAGAATCAGATTAAAGTCCACATGGCATGCTCATTTCATGTTTAATCTTGCGTTCCTCTAGATTAGCTTGGCACCCCTCATAACTCCAAATAGTCTGTAATTATTTCAGAATGATAAAACCAGAGAGCCTCTTCCTAAAAACAAGAGGATAGTTTGTGAACATGCACAACTCCTGTTGCCGATGTTGTCACCTCACAGCACTAGATTACAATAGGTAACTGCATTGGCATTAATTAATTTGAATTTCTCTTCCATAGATAGGTAAACAGTGGAAAAGAGATGTGCAACACCCTAAACATAGCGGGTAATTGAGAAACCCCATACAGTATTTTAACTGGAATAATGCTGCAAGGACTGTAAATCCAACTAGGTGGTTGAGCACATATTGTCCCAAAGTAGTGAAATTAATTCCAACAGGTAGCGTAGCACCAACAGTAACATCATGGGTCGTTAATCTGCTCGTTAACGAGCAACACATCACATGCAGCAGACACAGTGGCCTCAAGCAGTCAAAACAAACGGGTACTGTGCTCTGGCGCAATCCAGTGTTGATGAGCTGATCATTCACCGCCACAGGTGCTTCACTGGTCAGCTGCTTGTAGGTTAGAACTGGTCCAGTAAAACAGCGAGTCTCTGTACAGAAACATTCCCAGACATGCAGTAAACTCAGGCCCTTTATTTTTCTCTGCATCCTCTGGTCACAGTGCAGCAGCAAGAGGTAAAATACATATATCCACACGCGTGCAGTCAGAAAATTCTGCGTTTACAACGGCACCCGTGGATGTCAAGCAAGCTCACATGAATGTGCAACTGACTGGAGATTATGACAATTCAAGGAAATCCTTAAACTATCACTTATTACTTTATTTTGTTAGGAAAAAAAAGTCTTGTGATCGAGAGTTCACGATACGGGTATAAACCGAGTTGCTTCTGCATAGAAGTACTAGAACATATGTACATTTCAATTTTTGAGCTTTAGGTCACATCTAAGATGAGAATTCACCGTTATAACATTGTAGATAAGTCAGAAAACAAGGAAAAGCATGCCATTGGTTCTTTAAGTTTACAGTATACAATATAATAATCTGATTTTATTGATTCCTGGTGGGAAGTTCACAAAATACCCAGCAGTACTTAAGTTATAAGCATATAATGTAGTTAAAATGAGCTCTCCCTTCGCAAGCTGCAGCATTAAATGTGATGTACACAATAATGTGTCAATAACTATATTCCAGTAATTTAATATTTATTAATGTGAAATGTGCTATTTTGCATAACAAGTACTTTTACTTTTGATACTTTAAGTATATTTCGATGCCAGTACTTTTGTATTTCTGCTTAAGTAACATTTTGAACGCAGCAGCTTTACTTGTAACATAGTATTTTTACACTGGAATATTGTTACTTTTACTTAAGTAAAGAATTTGAGTACATCTTCAGTAGATTCACTGGGAATGCCCCCTCAGCATTGTCCCCTCTGCCATGCAATGACTTCACTTGTGTTATTCACAAGCTGCTACTAGTTGATGGCCAGTGTGACAAACACCCATGTTACATGGAGATGACAACTATGCATGTGTGTTTTCATGCCCGAGTAACTGCTCTTGTGGTGGAGTTAGCCCAAATCTGCCATAGGCGTAACTTCTGTCACACTTCACTGACCCTGCCATACTTGGTGCCAACAAACCTGCCGCCAGTCTTTTTCAGTGACAAAAAAAACACACTGTCATTTTGTTTATTTGTCTACACTGGTTGAAAGTACATGACTTCTAATGCTTTGGCCACCTTAGAAATGGAACTCTTGCAGGTCTCATATCTGTACCTGCTGTAATTGGAGCCTTTGGGGGAAAAGCTGTAATTCTGGCAGTGGCAGTGTGCTGTTATAAATATTGAACACAAATGTTTGACAGAGTGAAAAAAAGAGGAATTGAGTTATTAATGTATTCTGATAGTTTCCTTCCTGCATTTTTCCTTTAAATAAGCACTGATTGTCTGGCTTCCTCAGTAATATTTCTTGCTCTACAGTGGCATGTCAGATAAGCCAGCATGGCACCTCCTCTATAGGGTTGGTAGAGACCGCTGTCAGAATCATCAGTCTATAGCTGCAACCTACCCTGGTCTACTGTATGTGTATTATGTTTATTGCTAGGCTGTGTAAACTGTGAGTGTTGTCACAGACAAACTAGGTTTTGTGCATTATTAATATGCTATTATGCTAACAAAGGCAAGAAAGAAAACATTTGCTCTTGGGGTTAAAAAAAGCATCAGGGCCCTGACATCAGGATACTATGGCAGAATTTTTGCCATTCAGATGTCTTTAACTGAGTCCTATATGCTCATTTGTAAACACAGGTTTTTCTAGTTGTTATATTGATGATAATTAAACTTCACTTGTGTTTTTTTCATTGACATCTATTAGGAGTCAGTTTAGTTGTAGTGATTTTGAGCCAGCATCTTCAAATAATTCTTGGATAGTTAATTACTCTATAGTGTGTAACTAATGAATTCTCAAAGCAGTAATCTATATATTTCATATGTTTGGCACTGCACATTAAATTTTAAATACATTATTAATGTTATACACTTCAAATTATTTGCAAGGCACATAACAGTCGGGCAGCACGGTGGCACAGTGGTTAGCGCCGTTGCCTCACAGTGAGAAGGTTCCAGGTTCGGGCCCCACCTGGGACCTTTCTGTGTGGAGTTTGCATGTTCTCCCCGTGCTTGCGTGGGTTCTCTCCGGGTACTCCGGCTTCCTCCCACAGTCCAAAGACATGCAGCTTAGGTTGATTGGAGTGAGTGCGTGTGTGTGGTTGTTCGTCTATGTGTTAGCCCTGCGATGGATTGGAGACCTATCCAGGGTGTACCCCGCCTTCGCCCGATTGCTGGCTGGGATTGGCTCCGGCCCCCGTGACCCCGTTCAGGGACTAAGCGGTAGAAAATGAATGAATGAATAACAGTCTGTAAAAAAACTTGCAGGGCACAACATTATGGGTATGTGGCGCATTGAATTAAGTTCACTGTTTCCGAAACACTGATTTATTTGTGATGGGCTGCTACAGTATCAACATTGACTGCCACATATTGATTTAAAATAGGTTAAATCTTATTTTAATCTAGTGCTGTGAGTAGTGCAAGTATTTACTCAGTCCCTCTTTGCCCTGTTCTATTTCTCTCTGTTACACACACAAACACTTGACAACTCAATGTTTAAAAAAAAACACACACACACACAAAACTGTCAGTCGTGGAGATCCTGCTCTTCTGTGTTATTAACACAAACCTCCTTTGTGATCAACACTTTTTCTGTCTTAAAACAAAGTGCATTTGTTTCTGTTATGTGGAAAATAAAATTCTGCATGTTTTTATATATATCTGATCAATTGTTGAAATAATTGATGGATAATTGATTATTAAAATAATCATTAGTTGCATCCCTACTGCACACTGTTGTACTTTCAAAGTTCTAACTACTACTAACTTTTTTTTGCATTTAAACTCTATTGGTGTCCCCCATCTTCCACCCAGCTGGCATTTTGGTAGTCAAAGAAAGAGCATCTTTTCCAGATCTCTACACTCCTTATAGCAAGAAATGTTGGAATCCCACATTATGTGGTTGACGATAATGAATGGGAGTTATTTTACATCACTGTAAACAAAGTTTTGTGTATGTGGCAATGTGGTTGACACACGACCCAGTTAGAGAATTCTTTGTCCAGAGCCAAGTCCATTTTCTCAGGACCTTTGGTGAGCTGTGATGTCTGATATTCATTTAAGGTCTCATCCATATTTGTTTGTCTTAACTTTTTCACATTCATATTGTAAATGAATACATGTTGGATGAAAGTCTGCGTCATTTGTTTGGTTGTGATGATAACAAGCCACAAATAGTTTTTCATTGGATTTTGTGTAATAGCTATATCAGATTAATTAAAAGTGTTCAAAAATATCCATTAAGTAGATAGAGTGCAGAATTTCCATAAATGTACAGTATGATGTGTGATCAATCTGAGCTATATGAAAACAAGCAACAGTAATGAGTCCTAAACCATCGAAGACCCATTTGAACTGAACTGAACTGAACTGAACTGAACTGAAGGGTTCTAAAGACCCCTGCCTTTGACACTTACCCTAAGTGCACTTTCCCATTATTTATAGTGTACTTATTCAAACTGTACATTGCAGGTTAAGCGTGCATGGTAAAGCCTGGCAGTCATGCTGGGTTTGACATCAATGACACCAGACTTGGGTTAATAGGGGCAGTATTTGATAGGGAGCTTTCGGTTGGTGCAACATTATTTGTGCAAAAATGTTCAAAAATATGTGGGATTTTCAACATAAAAGCCCAGGATTGGAACTTAAGCTCACATGAAGGCCTGATAATAAGTTGTTCTCCCAACTTCAGCTTTTCTTTTCTTATTTCAGCATTACTCAGCTTTGCATCTTAGTCTTCAGCTGTTTCAGCAATAAATTTTAGCCATCTTCAGCATTGCTAGGGTAGTGCTTTCAGCACTTGATTTTGTTTCATTCAACCAGTGCCAAGTTTGGAAAGAGGTGCCACAAAGAGAAGAAGCAAACTGTCATATCTAAGAATCTTTAACCAGTGAGTGAGTGGAGGTTTTGCTTGAAACATGTCTTAAACTAAGTGATTATCGTGATAATTGCAGATTCATTTTTTAACCATTTATTTTACTAAATGTTGCACCTCTGTACCCCTCAACATTGCTTCCATATGTACCGCTGTTTAGAGCAGCTGAACCTCCATAGGGAATTGGTTAGCTGCACTGTGCATTGCACTAGTAACTGTGATGCAGCATGTCATTGCAAATTCCCCACAGCTTCTAATTCTGAATAGTTAAAAACAAATCTATGTATTGAGCCTTCCTCTGTGCCTTTCATGATCCATCTGGTCAAGTGTATAAGAGCCTTATAAAAAGTTTAGTATTAATGCTGAATTTGAATTTGAATTAATGCTGAAATTGTTGCCTTTCTCTGTATATTTTTTTAAGAACCTGAACCTCTGCTAAACTAGTCTTCCATCATCCTCTGAATTGCCTCGTGTCCTTTCCTATTTTCCCTTCAATAGCACCAGCAGACGCTACTAAACCAGTTGAGGGAGGTCACAGGCACAACGGACGTTCAGCTACTTCAGCAGGCCCTGCAGGTACATCATGAAACACGTATTACAGATTCTAATATGAGAGCTTATGCATATATACATACTGTATACACACTATTCCCTTGCTGTTTGTCTTTGTCTCCTTCACATACAGTGGGTACGGAAAGTATTCAG